GGTCAATTGAAAAATCCGCTGTATTAAGATATACGTTCGGTTTTAGCTTGCCCACTGTCGGACACAGCTCGTCGCGGCTGGCCATAAACCGTATTCTTTCTCACATGTCCATGACTCGAGGAAATCAGACCCATCTATCGGCAGGTTACTACATTGTTTAATATGAGCAGCGATCGTAGTAATCGTAGTAATGTTAGTTATATGTGATCTCTGTCATCTGTGTGATGACGGGTTTGTTTGTCGTTCTTTGTCGTGCAGGTGAAATAGCCATAAGTGTTTATTTGTTTCTAATTTTGGTGGTAACTACGAGACATACTTGGCACTCGTTTTATACGTAACCTTTTTGGGCGAAATAAAGGTAATGTCTGTTTATAGTTGATTTATGGTTATTTTTGTAGGTTAGGTAAGAAGACTCAGATTCAAGTGACAAATTATGAGCCTGTCTGTAAAATTACCGCTTACTCAGGGTTCTGCGACCACTACCATGCAAAATTACCCTCCCAGTACGCAGGTTTAAGGAAGTAATTTTAAAGGAACCTGACGATCGGAAACTCCAATGTTAGAATAAATGATTATCGATACGATAAATGTATTTTATGTAGCAGGGTGGATCGCTTGTAGAAGCTGTGGTGTAATACAAAAACATAAATTAAACCTACTGATTGGCTTGTGCAAATGTAATGTACATATTTTATCTGAGTAAAGTTGATGACCCTATGCTGTATTGGAAAAAGGGCATGATACTAAAAAGTAAATGTTTACGATATCAGTATTTGCTTATTTTATGCTTAGACGCTTTTTTATAGTACTTTCCTTCTCTCACCAGTAGAATTACTGATTCATTAAATTTATCCTTATGTGTGTTTTGACCTTTATTTGCTTTCCTATTATTCTTGGTCTGTATTTGATTTGTTTGGTCATATCCTTTTGCCCTTCTAGTGTTTGCAGGATGTGTTATGTTATCATTAACTAGCATATAATGGTATGGAGTAAAGCGTTGAAAACACCATTGAAAAGATTTGTAATAGAGCCATTATTCTAAATTTATTAATATTAGGGAACTGTATTAAATAAGAACAGTTCTTTGGTGTTACAGACAGCAATGAACTCTAAAAGAAGTTACCTGCACAACATGGTGGGAAAGGTGATAGAACTGTATTTTCCATACAGAGCTGTTGTGGCTTTCAAGTACAAAGACAAGCAAGAGAGGGCTCTGCTGAAAGCTGACAAACTTATTGTGGATGGTCAGAATGTTGGTATGGTATGTTCCGATCCATACTGTAATTTGCTCGACTCATGTTCTAGAAACGTAAATAAATTTTCTTTCATTCTGGTCAATAGTTCCAGTATGTGTGACATTGTCTGTAAACTCTGCAGTTCAGAGCTCACAGATGATCTTTGTCTGTATTATGTTAACCAATTTTATGCCTTAGATTAAAGGTGTAGATGTATGGATATATCATAAGGAGAATTCAAATCTTCAACAACAAACTTACTTATGGAGCTGAGCCCTTCTTGAGTATAAGCCAAATCTGCAGCTACTCAAGAATTTTCCAGCATTTTATGGAACCTGAAGGTTCATTACCGTGTTCTCAAGAACCCTCCACTGGTCCTTATCCTAAGGCAGATCAATCCAATCCATACCATCCCATCCTATCTCTCTAAGATCCATTTTAATATTGGTCACTCACCTGCGCCTTGGTCTTCGCAGTAGTCTCTTTCCTTCTGGCTTTCCCACCAATATCCTATATGCATTCCTCGTCTCCCCCCATTCATGCTACATGCCCTGCCCACCTCATCCTCCTTGACTTGATCATTGTAATTATACTCGGAGAAGAGTACAAGTTATGATCTAACATGTTACCTGCAGGGTAAAACAATAGATGGTTATCTTCAAGAAGGTTCCACAGTCAAGTTTTCATGTCATGGGTTCGATGAGTCTGGTCAAGACCGGTGTGGGTACTTTGTGACAATGGCATGGATCCAGGATCTTGACCTCTGCAGTCCCATGACTGGTGCCAATACCAAAGGCTTCCTTGGTATCAACAATGCATCTGGAATTGTCTCAGAGGTCTTCCATAGACAAGGAGTCATCACATACATTGATGGTGATGGTGGGTTTTTATTTCATGCGACTCTGAAAGAACATAATGGAATATAAAGTTATCTGGTAGTCATAACCAAATCAGTTTATTACAGCATTTTGAAAGTATCTCAGTTTTTATGCTGCTTATAGATTTGAAAAGAAATAAATCTCATATATTTCATGCATCTCATTCTTATCTGTGAAAGAAGACATTAACAGATATTTTGTTACTGAATGTAATAGGCATAGCAATAGGTAAAAATCATGTTTTTTCTACATGCCACAACTTGCAAAAGGCTCTTATGGTCATTTAGATGCAACAAATGGGACGCTGTTCCATCACAGAAACACGAGAATGTCATATGCATAGTACGTATGATCTAAGATTACATAACAGTTTCTTTGTGGATCTGATGTTTTACTATCTTGAAAATGTAATAGTTAATAATGTTGAATTTTAGCGCCCTGTTGCACTGATTTTCATCCATGATATGTATACAGTGGCCATCTTGTAGTGCACTCAGTTTCACCTGTTACTTCACGACATGTTTCGGCAACATAGTGCCATCATCAGGTGCATATGAGGGCAAGCAATGCAATAGATTAACGTAATTATGGCACCTGATGATGGCACTATGTTGCCGAAACATGTCGTGAAGTAACAGGTGAAATTGAGTGCACTACAAGACGGCCACTGTATACATATCATGGATGAAAGTTAATGATACTCATATAAGTTGAGTCTGTAGTCTGCATGCAAACTTGAGGGTCTAAGAAAGTAACAGTTTCTTTCGTAGACTTAACTTGGTTGATCCTGGTCCGTCACACTAGTAATTGTATATAAGATAAGATAAGCGATGATAAAAACACAACATCTATCAATCACACTGGATGGTGGTTAAAAATCTTATATACAATTTCTTTCAAGTTTAGTCTGCTGATTGTTTTAATAATATGTAATTATTTGCTTGTGAATAGCTGAGAGCATAGACACTGAACAGTTTTAATGCTTTTTTAGTCATTCGTATCAAACGTAGGTTAAAGAGCGTAATGCAGAAAGAGTGAAAATGGATGAAAGTTCAATTGTCTATGATTTTTGATGTGAGAATGACATTAAGGCAAAATTATGTGGAAGACCTTGATATTTATAGTGCAAAACTGTCTCAGATCTGAATTTGTTGCAGCAGTGTTTCTCAACTGTCGGGCCGTGGCCCGGTACCAGGACCTGGCATCAATTATACCGGGGCCTTGTCATACAGAAAAAGGAATTTACTGGGCCGCGCTCTAACAAAGGTTGAGAACCACTGTGTTACAGTATTGACTCGAATGTTGCCTCACCTCTAATATTAAAAGCACTGGCTCCTTCATCTTCTTTACCATCATCAGATCACCATCCTCATCCTTTGTATTAGACCTAGTTGGTCTGTCACAAGTATTTCAGTCTTTTTACACTCTTTATTTTATATGAATGCGATTTTTATTGTTAGAACAAGAACACAGGGTCTTATTCCTGGCAAGTAAGCTATTCCTGTCTGGGAAGCGTATGAGCTCAAAGCAGAACCTGCAGATGAGACTGGATGTAGAAGACAAGGTGCAGTTTGATGCTGTGCCCTGTGAACAGTTGGAAAATGACAGCTCTTGTTCCTGGTTTGCCACGGTTGTATGGAAGGGCACGAAACCTTACACTGACTATGATGAGCCAGTCAGTTTACTTGAAGAGCCTTGGGATCTTATGGCAGAAATCAAGCACGTAAGTATTTTTCAATAATAGACACTACAGACTAACCCACCACAAAATTTCAATACAAAACTAATAATTGGTCCAGAACGGGACAGTAAACTGAGCTAACTTAAGCTAAGTTACATCCTCCAACATAATTCCTTAAAGTGAATAAAATATGAGTATAACAAATTGTGTAGGGGGTAAAAGATGGTTTGGATAGGCAGAATGGAAAGATTAATATAGTTCTGATGAGAGAACAGAATAGACAGGGGTTGATGGAGATGGATAAATGTAATGAATTTCAGGTACTATATCAGGGTATTGGAATACTGAGAATGAGGAGACAATCTTGGGACAGCCGCCGCCAGAGGCAGCTGAGATCCAACCACGGCCAAGGATAGTTGAGACGTCGCATTGGAGTATTGGGCCAGAAGTCAAGTGATACTGCAAGCGATAATAATTGTAAGGTGTGTAAGAGCGAGTGTCCAATAAAGATTCGCTAAATCCGAGACCCACTTGAAGTTATTTGTCGCGTGACATACCCAACACCTTATCGTGGTGAGGGGGTTTGAGTATGCCAAGGACCCTGAGAGCTATACCAGCGGTAGCGTAGCTACTGGCAGGGCCTCCCTTGCTGGACAGGTCAAAGGGTAGGCATCAAACGAAGAGACACACCAAAAACTGATGTCGGGAGCAGCGTCATCAGCAGCGACTTGAAGCACAGAGCAAATGATGCTCGAGATGGTTCAAGTTCGTATAGCAACAGGCGTGACCAGAGTGGTTTGAACGGCTGTTGTACTGCGATGTGGAAAGCAAATGGAAAAACTACCACATTATCACCTTTCCTGGATAGTCTCTTTCCAAAAACAGAAGATCGCATTAAGTGGAGAAACTGTTTTGGAAGAGACTGTGGACCTGTCGTCTGACAGATTACTGATGATGATGATGATCAGGGTAATAGACCGAAACTACAAGCAACATGGATTGGCCCATGGGTAGGTGAATTGATGGATCAGTGGTTGGTTGGATGGATAGATAGAAGGCAAGTCATTACGGTAGCTTGGATTATCCATATGCAGGGTGGTTCATTGCTGATCACAGCGGCCACGCCATGTAAGGCATGAAATATCTTCACCTGCTTGAACACTAGCATCATGCATTCAAATCCAACTCCAGGCATGGATGTCTGTCTGCATTTATTCAGTGTTTGTGTTAGGTAGCGGCCTTGTGACACAATGATCCCCCCTATCCAAGGAGTCGTACTGACTGTCTATGGTTAAGAAACTGAAGTGAAACAAAGCGTTTCATGAATACCATACGCTCCAAGTGGGAGCAACAGGAAGAAGAGAGAGAGCGGCAGATATATGAATTTTCAATACCCAGTGGAGCGTGTTCTTGGGTCACTGTCAGTGAAATTTACAAACACATCTGTCAGATTTCTACCTTTTTAATAAAATTCTCAACAAGAAACACTCGTTCAATACTGTTTCTCACCGTGGTTCATCACAAGATCAGTGAATGGACATAACTAACTGGCCACAGAAACAAACAAGCAGTGACTGATTGATTGATTTATTGATTGACTACCATTAAAATGGATGTGTGGTGGCAGACTGTGGTTACATCAGCATGATTAACTTCAAGCTATCCACCAACTGGCTAAACAGTTGTTAAAATAAAGTACAGTTCTTGTGGCCTGAACGTCTGTGTAGTTGGCATAGAACAGGAACAAAGTGATAAGACTGTATTGAAGAGCTGAGATTATATATATACAGAATATTATAGATACAGGGTGTCCCAGGAGGAATGGACCAAACTTCGGGTGGGTGTTCCTTATGTTAAAGTATGCCGATATAACCCAAAACACCTATGTCCAAAGTTGAACAGTTACGGAGATAATGGCCCGAGAAAAGTGTGGTCTTCTTGCAGGTCCACGCACTGTGGACAGTCAGCTGTGACTGTTATCTGTTTGTACTTGAGTGTGGTGATGTCACACTAGCCGTGATCTCATGCGCAACCTACCAGAGCCTACAGATTACGTTGCGGCGGGGTCGTGAATGGGTGGTAAATTAGTTGTGTGATGAGTTGCTGAAATGCCTCTTGTGTTTTCACACGTGGAATATTGTGATATGCATTTTGTGTGTGGATTTTGCGGTCGCAATGCACATGCTGCTGTTGAAGAATACCAAAGGCGTTTTCCCGATCGAAGGATTCCATCTCGAAGTGTATTTACGCGAATTCACCAGACATTGCGTGATACTGGTTCTCTTGCAAGTGTTTCTGTGCACTCTGAAAGGCAGGATGTACGAATGATAGACACACGAGAGCACATTCTTGATATTGTTCAGTGAAGTCCGCGTCTATCACTCGTAGAATCGCCTCTCGCATCGGCGTATCACGTATTCAGGTGTGGCAAACTTTACATCATGAAGAGTTATTCTTACCATGATCAAATGGTACAACATCTGGAACCAGGCGACCATGCACAGCGTATGGATTTGTGCCACTGGATAAAAAGTTCATCCCGAACTGTTAAGCGTCATTTTATTCAGTGATGAGGCGTCTTTTACCCTGGATGGTGTAAATAATTTACGAAATGTGCATACGTGGTTCCATAATAATCCACATGAGATAATGGAAACGAAATTCCAAAAGAGATTTCCTGTGAATGTACGTTTACAGTTATGTGGTCGGGTTATAGCGCAGCCATATTATGTCATCGCTCACCAGTCATGTGTCATGTATAGTGCTTGGAAACCCTAAGGACAATTATGACATGGCGAGCGAGTATTTTGTACTTCAATTTTATGGCTTTCCGTCACTCACAAGTTAGTTTGATGTTACGTACATTATTAACATTACAGAATCCACATATTCCTGCCAGTTTTAATATGTATTTTGTAATCAACAAGTGTGTAACACCGGTCAAAATTTGACACTTCTCTGGCCATTATCTCCGTAACCGTTCAACTTTGGACATAGGTGTTTTGGGTTATATCGGCATACTTTAACATAAGGAACACCCTCCCGAAGTTTGGTCCATTCCTCCTGGGACACCCTGTATATGAATGGATATGAAAGCATTTAACTGGTTACTAAACAAGATTATGAGTAAATATAGTTTAATTCTGTTATGTTGCAGCTATCAAATAATCCCAAGTCATTATTTATTCGAGGTCAGGGGCAGATTCTGCAGATATTGAACGGGGAGTTTGGTGTAGCATTGGCTGCCATGAAACCAAACAGCTGGGAGAGCATCCTGTTCCATCGCAGTGCCTGCTTTCTTTTCAAGCTAAATTTAGCATCACATGATCTTACTAAAATCTTTAAAGAAGGTAAACCTCAGCTGTAAAATAACAAGATATTGTGCAGCATTGACCTAGCATGTTGTATCATTTTGATAAAAAAAATAATTTTATTAAAAATAAATACTATATGAACTGGCACACTTCACATTTTCCTATTCTTGAACATAAATTTAAAATGTATTCCTGTTATTTTGCCTTTGCATTGGTGGATCCCTTTTGTTTAATTACTGGTATTAATAGTATTTGTGTGAGAATCAGGTTTTATAATTAACTTTACCAAAGTCTTAATATATTTAACTCTTAATTGATTTCTTACTGTGGATATCATAGATACAAAATGTACTTGATGCAACTGATGATGACTGAATGAAGGTAGAAATATGTGGCACAAGCTTATATCATAAATGTAAATATTGTAACGTGACATCTGAAATTCAGAATCATGAAAATATGACAGAGGTGTCTGCTATTAGTAGGGCCCGGATCTTTATGCGCAAAAAACACTTAAAAAATGCACTAAAACACTTACAATATGCACTTAAGAAACAGGTCACTTTATTCAGACTCACCTATTTACATGTATCATTCACTGCAGAAAGTAGCATCACAATAGGGAACTGGAAGTCTTTCAATGTTTTATGGAGACAAACTGTGTCTATTGTTCATCAAAATGATAGTATAGGCTGAGAATGATCTTTCTACATCAACTGATGTGATTGGACAGTATTTATGCACAGGCACTGAAGGTTCAGAACATTCATTTGGCAAAGATACCCTAATTCCACTCAAGTACTGACTAATTAACTGAATCTTTTTTAGTCCTGGGTTCAAATTCAACACCATTTCTAACTTGCATTTAATCTTGTCTCCAATTTCGCCTAGTGCAAAATTCAGTGAACAAGTTGCTTTCTGAACGAGTTCAAGTGAGTCGTGAAGGAGTGCACCACAAGATTCTAAGCTCTCAGTGGCTTTTGAAACTGTAGAAAAATGTGCATGGATAAAATTCACATCTTGATAAACAGTATCACTTCCAAACATCACTTTTGCTTCACAGACACATGCATACTCATCTTCAAGTTTTGTAACCACTTCTTTTACATGATTGAAATTCTCCTGATGAAATGAAACTGCGGATATCCATGTCCTCCCCCTACTTAGGACAGGTTCAGGTGGCAGAGGAACCTGAGGTAGGCAATCTTTGTAGAACTGGACATGAACTGGTGCTTTTAGAAACAGTTATTTCATACTTGCAATTAAATCGTTAACAGCTGTAAACTGTGCGCATATTTTTTCTGCAATACAGTGTAATCCGTGCGCTAAACAGGTTACATGTATAAGATTTGGATAAAATACGTGTAAGGCCTTTGCTGCTTTTGGCATATAGGAAGCTCCATCTGTGAGTAACACAAGCACCCTACAACAGTTGTTCTCAATTTCAGATGGCCATAATAATCACAGAGAATCACATACTAATCTTGCTATTGTGCTATGGTTGGTTTTCTCTAGTACTTTGCAAGCAAGAAGATAAGGTTTGCTGGGTTCGTCTGGTTGTAGCTTAACAACTATGAAATTTGCTGTGCATTGGCCACATAAATTGCTTGACTCATCCTTAATTACCCTTAATTTCAAACATATATGCAGAAATATGCTCTTACATTTAGAATATGCAATAATGACCAAAACCCCTCAAAATATGCATTTTAAAAAAATCCGGACCCTAGTTATTAGGCAACATTTTGTTAAAATATGTATCCACAGAAACAGACACACTCACAACACTGGAAGTACTATTGAGCTCATGGCAACGTGTACAGGGAGCCTCCATTCTGGACCGATGTATTACTGTCACAAGAGAGTATTAAAATTACTTCTTGGAAATGACGTGTAGTCCAGAAGGAGTGTCCTAATGTTTCAGAGGAATGTTAGAATTATTTAGTTACTTTACCTTTTATGGTGTAACATATTTCCACTTTTCAAGATACCCAGTAAACTGAAGAATGCCGTCTTCTGGGATGTGGTGCCATCTAGTTCTTGTGTGAACTGACATTTCATAAGGAACGTCGGTTCACACAAAATCTAGAAGGCACCACATCTCAGAAGACAGCATTATTCATAGTCACTGCTGTGAAAACCTCAAATCTTACCCAGTAAACTGTTATAAACAGCTGGCTGTTGCTTGGAAAGATAACGGCTATGAGACATGCTAAAATTTCTGAATGTCCCCAGAAAGTTTATGTATGTGCCAGTAAATTGTTTTTTAAGAATTTTGTCTGAATGAGTAATAAAATTATTTGTCCTTAAATTTTTCCACTCTAAATGAGAGTCTTGTTACAGCCAGTGTTGCTTTAGAAGCAAACAAACGCATGCAAATACTTTGATTTTAAGAATTTCTCACAGAGAACTTCAATGTGTAAATCTTAGTTTACTGTCTGCTTTATATATTTTACTGAAATCCATAATTAAGTAAATATTGAAGAGAGCGATCTTCCGGGATGTGGCGCTATGTAGATATTGTGTTAACCGATGTTTCGGAGGAAGGTATTGCCTCCATCTTTAAGGTAAAAGAAAAAAGAAGAAAATCCACAAGCGAAGAACCAGTATGAGGAGGTGCAAATGGCATGTGTACCAGCTAATACTGGTTCTTCACTTGCGGTTTTTCTTCTTTTTTCTTCTACCCTAATGATGGAGGCAATACGTTCCTCCGAAACATCGGTTAACACAATATCTACACAGCGACACATCCCAGAAGACTGCTCTCTTCGTAGTTACCACCGTGAAAACCTCAAATCTTACATAATTAAGTAAATATTCTTTTTCAGGTGACCGGATTCGGTTTATTGCTGTAAGAGCCTCAAAACACCTTATTACACAGTGGGTTGCATCTCAGATTTCTGTGTTTGTAAGCAATGAGCTGGATTATAATCTTTAATCCATCTTGAAAGCAAGTACTAGAAAGTGGAGGGAACTCTGTGATGCTAATATAACTGCTTGTTACTGTTGTCGTCTGTTGTCCACTACTCTATTTTGTGCAACTGAGGCTTCAATGTTAAGATGTCAAAGTGTGATGCAAATTGTTCTGTACCTTATATATAAGTTGAATTATAATTCTTTTCAAAGATTATTGTATTTTCATTTAAAATTAACAGATGAGCAGTAAGAAATCGGAACATTAATTGAAAGAAGCTTACAGGATAACTGCTAAAACAAAATGAAAATTTATGTTAATAATTTCATATATCTTGAGTTTAAGCATTTCAGCATATTCATAGCTTTATAAAATTTGAAATTAATACAAATTATATGGAATGCTAAAGAGTATTTCTGTATTACCTCACATTTCTGCTATCTCAAAATGTAAATTTTGACATGAAATATATAAAGAAGGATGCATTGTATAGCCAATTCATCCGTTATATATTGAACATTAAAAAATTTGCATATAATATTTGTGTATTCTTTACCCAGTATCCTGAAGGCATCTGCAGTCAACGGTTAACTATAACATAACCTTGTCATATTTTAGTTAAGTCTTCTACACATATAGAATAGAATCTGTTTATAAGAGTTGCAAGGACCATGAATGTTTTTCTTTCATTTCAGACAACTTTCTGTTTAAAATTGTTTATTATTTCTAAATAAAAAAGATACACAGTACATATACCATGTAATTATGATCCAAATAAAAAATGTATACCATCATATGTTTGTGTTCTGCTACAAGTACCCTGTCACTGAATAATACACATTTTCAGTTTTCTTTCTTCCTTTTGACAGAATTGATAGTCTAATAAAATATTCTGCACACATTTTGTTCACAGTCAGGCTGTTACATTTGTGACAAGACTGTTTCTCCCAAAACAGGTATCACGAAGCACAGTGCACAACAATATATATATATATATATATATATAAAACAGTAAATATTAAATCAGACAGTTTACCTTAAAATTCTTGCTTTCTTGTTTATGTTTTCATATGAAATAGCTTCTACACATTTTAATACTTTTCCTGGCTTCCAATCTGTATTATCAGATGTGGATATAGTCACATGTATGAGTGACTCTCAGCAGAGTTCTGGATTGGATACTGGATTTATTGACCACTTACGGATTGTAGCTACAGTTTCACTCAATTACACACTCCAAATATCACTGTAACTTCACAGCCTGATTTTCAACTGAGCACTGAACTCATTGCTCCTAGCTGTCCTTGTTATAACATCTTGGCACAGACCGCACAGAAAACACCATTCCCCTGTTGCTGTTCAATTGTTGCTTATTAAGAACCTGCTGCCTGGCAGCGAATGTTGTTCCATTGTTTTATGACCATTCCACAGAAACAAATGTTGTTTCAGAGCCATTCGCTAGCAACAGCTGTTTCCCTGGCTCCATGGTTCTTGCGTTGTGCAAATTACTTTTAATCCAGGTTACATTTTAGACAGCCTCTCCAGCCTTTAAGGGCAAATTTGAAGATAAATTCTAAAGGGTTCTGCAGAAGGTACATAATCCTCGGTATTACTGACTTTTTGGACTTTGTTCATTATCTAACACTGGATCATGGACAAAGTAAAAATCTCACTAACTCAAAATTTAACGATACTAAATGTCTGACACTATGCCATATTGTAGTGCTACACAAGATCGTCACCTGGGCTTGAATCTATGAAACATTTGAAGTAATTTCATACCAGTTATCTTAGTTTGGTCACAAGTGATGTGTTTATGAAAATGTGGACAGGTTGAATCAGCTACTGAAACATATACACCTGTATATAAACTGTGATTCGTACAGATACATGTCCTCTCAAATTGTTGCTTACCTTGTGTGTTCCCAGGTTCTCTGAGATTCAGTGCAAAATGTTCTGTGGTGATTATGAACTAAATCTGCCTTCAATGAGGGGAAATAATATATGTCTTAATAGAGGTTAAGACATAATGTCATGCCTGACTCAAGCTTCAAAATGTGCTTCACTGCAGGAAAGTTGCACCTTCCAGTTTCTTTAACAAAATGGTGATAAGAAATAACAGTTTAATGGGAGATAAGATTAATGGCTAACTCCATGGAGCTGAGTGCTGCTTGAGAAGCCAAGAGTTGCTCAGCCACTCAAGAAATTTTCACCATTTTATGGAACCTAGAAGTTAATGCCCACTTTCACAAGAGCCCACCACTGGTTCTTATTCTGAGCCATATGAATCCTGTTAATACCATCACATTCTGTTTCTTTGAGATCCACTTTAACTTTACTTTTCCACTCCCATACATCTACCTCCTCTTCATTGCCTCTTTCCTTCAGGTTTCTTTTTTTCATGTATTTTGTATGCACTTTGCTCCCATGCATGCTGGATACTATGCTCATGTCTTTCTCCTTTAATCATTCTAATAACATTTGGACAGGAATTCAAATTACATAGTTCCTCATTATGCCTTTTTCACCAGCCTCATACTATTTCATCCCTCTTAGGCTCAAATATTCACCTAAGCACCCTGTTCTTAAACACCCTTGGTCTATTTTCTTCCTTTTAATGTGAGAGACAAAGTTTTATGCATGTACAGCACTACATGCAACAGTACAGTTACCACAATGTTTTTAAGGTTGAAAGAAATAAATCATAGATGGCGAAAAGTTGAAGACACATGCATACAAATGTAATGAATTCTCTAACACTTCTTTCAAAATAAGGAATACACAGCTGCCTACTACAGATTTAAATCATCCACAATTTTCCATTTATATCCAGGTTTGGTTTTATACACCCATAGTTTTAAATTTGCATATAAATAGATAATCGTCAGTAGAATAAAAATTCATGTCCGCATACTGTGTTTTAACAACACTAGTTTTAATGCTCTCCTACCTTCTTCAGACTTTCCTAGTGATAAGATATTGTAGTCCTCTTAATTGCCACCTTCCTGTAAGGCAACCAAGGTTTTGCTAACCGCAGTTCTTCTGGTACGGAAACCCTGCGATAGTGTGAGATTTCTATATCAAAAGTTTGGATTAAAACTTGAAAATGAGGTTAAATTCTTAACGTATCGAATTGCGCGCAAAAGAAACAATAGTGGATTGTACTGACATCTACAAGAGGGCTGCTTTACTATTTCTGCCACCAAACGACTATGCTTGTAATCGATTGTGAAACAGTGACCAAAAGAGAGTGATGTGTTGCCTAACAACTAGGCGCTTAAGAAATAACGTTGACTCAACACCCACTTTGTTTCTGCGTAGAGAGTAAAATATTTTCAACTTGTATCGGATGCGGTAAGGATTTATATTACGTACCCATCTGCCGGACCATATGTTATCATAGTCCAAAAGACTACATCTGAATCTTAAATTTCTTCAATAATTATTTTTCTCTGGAATGTGACGCCATGTAGTCTGTCTGATTCTCTGAGTATGGCAGCATTGCTTATCTCCTGAAGTGGGGAATAATCTACCAGACTACAAAGCGTCAAATTCCATCGAACAGCACTCTTCATGTAAGATTTAAATTTATTGCAGCGGTGGTAATAAAGAATCTTATCTTCTGGGATATAACGCCGTGTAGTCAGTTGAAAGTCAACCAACATTTTAGAGTCGCCTCTAAAACGTCGGCTGACTTTGAACTGATTACACGGCGTTATATCCCAGACAACAGAAATTCTTAGAAATCTTCACAACCACCATCGGCAGAACCGCAAGTGTCGCTTTCCTTCTGAAGGTGCTCTCTAGAAATGTCTGCAATTACCAGCTTCAGTTTCAACGACAGTTTCAATTCGTTATTCACTGAGTTCCTTCTCACTCTTCAAGAACGTAATGGCGCCTCGTATTGATAAAATTTAAGTGAACATAATTGTAAAATTATACATTATATTATACACGTACATTACAATATATTTCGGCTCATTAGGTAATATATGTTTCTACATTCAGCTTTGTTTTTGCTATTTTACTCGCTACATTAGCCAGTGTTTTCATCGTGGAGTAATCATGAGGTGTTATATTCTGATGTCTCTTACGTGAAATTAAGCTAAAAATATTAAAATATTAAGCGTTAAAATGTTGCACTATAATTCATGTTTAATTCGGTTACATCGTAGTGGCGTTTCTCTGGTCGTTGTAAATATTGATCATCTCATACTGGTATCTCGACTGTGTGTTTCTAAAGGTTACGTTGTTTTGTTTTTCGTGCTTCTTTTTAGGTTCCTGTGGATTGGCCTTGTTGTGGGAGGTGTCGTGTATGAGCGAGTGGTTGAGTCGCATCATTCACGCACAATATGACGCTAAATACAATATTTTTTAAATGGAAAGTTCTTGTACATCTCAACTCTCTTTGCATCAGTGGCAAGTGCCAGTGTATTTGTAGGAGGAATTTGAAAGTATTCCCCTATGTAAATTTGACCTGGGAGATGCTGGTCCTACGCCTGGCAGAAAGTTCAAGGTTCTTATGTTCTAGAGTCAGGCGTGTAAACTTCGTTCAGTGCTTCGGATGACATGCTTGTCCTTCGCATATTGTGCTCAAACTGGCATTTGAATTTCGTCACATTCACGCAGTCACGCACGTATTATAAATTTGTCTTCATACTTTCTACAGATGTCCTCCACTTTGCCTTTATGTTATTCTGCAGTAAAGAAACAAGGTTTTTATTTCGAAAGCAGGCGGTTTTCCTGATCGAGATATTCGTAGGTTTCGGAAAGCGAACTGTGTCCTCAAGGAATCATGATCTCTCGCCGCCCATTCTTCGAAATTCGTCATTCATAAACATGCTTTCGAGTTTAAAACTTACGAATCGGGGAATTTCGTATTTCTTCTTGTCGAAATCAACAGGAACCTCAGTGAAATCAGAGTGTATCATCTCTCCCAGTGTCTAACCGAATGAGCGTGTTTTAATAAAGTGTATCTTTTATAGTCGTTTTTCTTTTTTCGTCTAAAATGCAACAACTTAATAACATTAATTCGCATTTAATTCAAACAATGATAGTTAAATGTATAACGTGTTATTAAAATTATTAAAATATATACATACATGTTGTTGTATTACTACATGTTTCGACCTTACAAGGCCATCCTCATGCAACACGTTTAAGTATTCTAATTCACTGTACGCTAATCATATATTATTCTTAAAATATGCGTTCGA